CGGCACCGGCGAGCGCCTGGGCGGGCGGCGGGCCGAAAGTGAGGGAGAAGGCCGGGGGACAGCGATGTATGAGAGCGAGGTGGCGACGAGAAGAGGAGGGCGGCGGCGGCGGCGGCGGCGGCGGCGCCGCCGCCGCTGCCGCCGCCACAAGAGCGGGCCGGAGGGAGGGGAGGGAGCCCCCCCTCTCACCCGCGCGGTCAGCAGGGCAAACGCAGCGAGCTTTGGCCACATCTGGCGGAGCTGTCTGGGCGTGTCCGAGTCGACGTACAGGGCGAGCGAGAGGATGAGTCCCGACTTCGTCACGCCTGTGGGGCATGTCTCGGATGTCACGGACATGTCATGGACGTGTTGGACGTGTCCCTTGAGAGTCATCCGGATGGCCGCCTATGGGAGGAGGCTGGCGCCCGCATGTTGGAGGACTCGCCCGAGACTGCTCGTGGACTCGCCCGAGACTGCGGCCACCTGACACCCTCACAGGATGTGTGACGGCCCGATGGTGAGTCTTGTTTCGTGTCGCGTGGCCTGCTTCCAAGTCCATGTGTGTGGCCGCCTCTCTTTCCATGTCTCTCCTTCCGTGCGTCAGCCCGTGCGTCAGCCCGCCACGCGCCTGTGTCCTCAGTCGCTGTGTATTGCTAGCCTAGTGATCTCGCCTCTCCATCTAAATACGACACGCCGGGTGCGGCGGTGAGGTCGACTTGCCAGTCAAGCTTGGAGACGTCCGAGTACAGGAAGGTGGAGCCGGGGGCGATGACCTGCCGAGGGATGCAGCCGATGTGCAGCCGATGTGCAGCCATGTGTAGCCGAGGTGCAGCCGCGGCCGAGGCGAGGCCGAGGTGCGGCCGAGGCGAGGCCGAGGTGCGGCCGAGGTGCGGCCCGAGGTCTGCGGCTCGTGGATGCCCGTGATCTCGGGTGTCTCGGCTAATCTCGTCACCGGCTCGTGGATGTTTAGTCGCATGCTCAGCGTTAGGGAGGAGAGGGCGTCGAGCCATGCTCGCAGCGCCGCGTTGCCCTTGGGCGTGCGATCCGTCCACAGCGGCCCCACCGCCTCTTTGCACTCTTCCGGCGACGTGCCGCACGCCTTGCTGGATATGTTGAGCGGTGTGTCGCCGGATGCGCCCGCCACGCTCACGACGTGCAGTTGCACGGGTCCTGCCGCTCGCATGTCGCCAAGCGCCACCTCCCTCAGCCTATCGTGCGCCGTGACGGCGTGCGCCACCATCGCGCGGAGCGACGGTACGTCGTCCATTCGACACTCGGGCAGAACGAAGCAGCGAGGGTCATCGCAGAATTGCCACGCTTCCACGCACGGCGGCGGATAGAATATCTTGGCGAGCTCCGCCCGGAGTTCGGCGATGCCGCTGGCGCGCTGTGCCGATTCGCCGAGTAGCAAGCTGCACGCGAGGGCGAGCGTGGCCAGGTGAAGCAGCAGCCGGGCCGGCTGCTTGCGCCTCGCTGGGCGATCGGTGTCGCCAGAGGACGCGAACGAGACCGTGCGCTGCGAGCTGCGCGACGCGGCGGCGGCGACGGGCGGCTCCTTGGCCTCGTGTGGTCCAGGAAGCAGTCTCTCGTGCAACATTGATGCGTGCCGCAGACAGAGTGTCGACTATTATCGATCAACACTTTCGATAGACCGAAAGTAAGATCGTTCGGTGCAGAAACCCCGGCCATGCCCATGTAACGCAATTGTGCTCGATTTTTTTGATTTTTTGGTCGAGAAGTGTCTCCAAGTCTTCTGGACCCATCGATGGCCGTCGCCTCGACGCCGCTCGTCGCGGCACCATCGTGCCCGGCCTGGGCGAAGCATCGTCGCGGGCGCCAGCCGCAGTTCGACGGCAAGCCGTGCGAGCCTGCCGAGGAGGAGGACATGTGGCTGTGCCTGGCCGACGGCCGCGCGCGCAGCACCGCCGACCTGAAGCGCCTGGCGACAGCCGCTCGGGTGCGAGCGAAACGAGCAGGAGATGCAGCCGCCGCGAACACGCGCGATCGGCAGGCGCGCGACCAGCGCCGCCGGCAGCGTGAGCAGCACGACCGGCGCGCAGCGCCGGCGGTCGCCAAGACCGTGCGCCCACAACGCGGCCAGTGCGGCTGCCCGGCGCACGCGGTGTGCGGCATGTGCGTCGACCAGGGCAAGCTCGCCGCGGCCGAGCAGGCGGCCATCGACCTGGAGACGCGCTTCCACGCCTCGACGAACGTCGTCATGGACCTGGAGCGGCCCGAGGACGAGACGGCGGCGCTGCTGCAGCGCTGCGTGCACGTCTCCGACGAGACGAAGCGGCGGCTGCTGGGCGAGTGGAGCGACGAGCGCATGGCGCACGCGCTGCCGCTGCACGCATGCGCCTCGTGCGGCGTGCGGGACCCGTCGCTGACGTACACGCGGGTTGACGTGTCGGCGCTGCCGCGTACTGTGTCTGTGCGCGTAGCCGCGCCGACGCGAGTGACGGAGAGGGTGACGAGCAGATGCGCGACGCATCAGACGCGCAGGATGACGGTGCAAGCATGTCCGAGGGTGAGTAAAAGTGTGAGGTTTGGTGGAGGCTGTAGCGTCGTCGCGCTTTAGAAAAGGAGTTGCGGTGTTGATCGCCGCGGGAGCCCTCTTATGTGATCAATCTCCCTTCTCCCCTGTGCGTGGCGACGCCCGTGCCCAGCGACTCCATTTGTTCGGTCTCTAGCAGGTCATCCATCTCCGTGTCCGCCGTCCCCATTTGCCGCCCTCTTTCCTCCACCCATTTCCGCGTTACAGCATTCATGTCGCCGACGATGAGCACCTTCTCGTGCGTGTCGTGTCGTATCGCTTCTTTGAGCTCCTTCCACGCCTTGACGATTTCGTCATTGCTCTTTCCTGTATCGGGCACGCTGATTCGGTGTTTCCCATCGAGTGTTTCGAGTACCACCCTCCTCACTCGTGCAGCGATTATGTCGACCTCCTGTTCTGGTTCAACTTTTTTGAGTTTGTCGGTGTTCCATCGTACAAGGATGTAAGACACAAGAAGGAGGGCGCGAGCCGCGCACGAAAGACGCACAGAAAGCAAACCCGCGTGACACACAATCGAGGGAAGGAAGAAACTCATGTGAGACAGAGAGTCACGCGGGACAGGAGAGTAAAGTGCCAAAGGGGGCACTACAGATAGCAGTTACTATCTCCGCATTCCAACGCCCCCCCCCAGGTCACATCATCAGCATCTGCTGCTGCTGCATCATCTGCTGCTGCTGGCCCGCCTGCGCCTGCGCCGCCGCCTGCGCCTGCTGCACCGCCTGCTGCGCCTGCTGCCCGCCCTCGAGGCCGAGGCACATGTGCCCCTTCTTGAAGTGGCCGCACTTGCGGCAGCGGTACCCCTCCACCGGCCGGCCCGCCTCGAGCGCCTCGCGCCGCTGCCTCTCCGCCTTCTCGAGGCGGTGCCACCTACGGCGGCGGCTCGGACCAGGTCCAGGGAAGGCGCCGCCGCCCGCGCCGCCGTCTCGACGCCGGCCCGCGCCTGTTGCGGACCGCGTCGTCGGAGCGGCCGGGCAGGAGCTGCGCGATGAGGGACCACTTGCAGCCCGACTCTGCGACGCCCTGCAGGATGGTCGAGTCCTCGGACGGGCGCCTGCGGGGGGGGTGCGGGAAGGTTCCGGGCAGGTTCCGAGCGGGCCCGGGGAGGAAAGCCGCAAGGGGGAGGCCGACAGTGGGGGCGGGGGTGGGGGCGGTCGAGTTGCCGGCGTCTGGGCACTGTCTGGGGACGGTCTACAGGGGGCTTGCCAGGGAGTGACGGTCGAGGTCTTTGCCTTCTTGGCGGGGCGAGTCGCAGGCTGGCTTGCCTGCGGCGGGGTGAGGGGGAGGGGAGGGGCTGGGAGGAGAGGGGCGTATGCGTGCCGGCCGGGGAGGGGGTGTGAGGGGAGGCGCGTGTGAGAGCGTGCTGCCCCCGGAGCAGCCGGTGCGCGCGGGAGGACGGGGCGAGGCACCAGCTCACGGGCGTCGGCGGTGCTGCCGGCGGCGGCCGGCACGGCGGCGGTCGCCTCCGGCGCCGCCTTTTGCTGGCGCGGCTGGCGCGGCGGCTGCTGCGGCTCTTGCGACTGCGGCATCGGGAGATCGTTGGTGTCCCTGCCCGCCTCCCTGCGGGCGAGGAAGAGCGCCGCCTGCTCGGCGGTGGCGAAGCAGCCGAGGGTGACTGGTTTGCCGCCAACCCTCACTTGCAGCTTGTACTTCTTGCTGGCTCGCTCCTTCGGGTAGTAGGTCACGCCTTTGTAGCCGCTGCTGCTGCTGCTGCTCGTAGCCAGAGTCAGGCCCTCCCTCCCCGCCTGCTGGACTGCCTCGGCGCCAGCGGGAGAGGTAGGCGCGGGTGGTGGCGGCGGGCGGCTCACTCGTCCGTCGTCCGCCGACGGGCCGGGCTTGAAGGCGACGGCGCGCTCGCGTGCAACAGCGGCGTGGTCAGCGGTGATGTACTTGGCTCTGTGCGCGGACGTCAAAGGGGCGCTCACCTCAAAGCTCGTGCCCGTGTAGTGGACGCCTAGATACCCCGTGTTCGAGGTCGGCGATCGCCTCGGCACCAGCCCCTCCTGCGCTGCCTCTGCGAGGAGCGCGCGGCCGACGACGGTGCGCGGCGGCTCAAATGGGCCGAGCGGCGAAGAGTCCGCCAGCCTGCGCTTATAGCGCGCCTGGTATCCCTCGCCCGCGAGCATCTCCTCCTCCGCCCGCGCGTGGGCGCTCGCCGCCTCGAGGCACGGCGGCGGCACGTCGGCGGGCGGCGGCGGCAGCGCCGGCCGGCTGGGCGCTCCGCGGAGCGAGGCCAAGATGCCACAAACCTCAACGCCGCGCGCTGAGCTCCACTCCCAGGCCGTGGCGCAGGCGCTGCTGGCCGATGACACGAGCATGCCCGCCGCGCGCCGCGCCGGCTCCGGCAGGTGCTGCGTCAGGCTGAGGCGGGCTCGCTTGGCGCGCTCGCCGCCCGCCTCCTCCTCCTCCTCCTCCTCCTCCTCCTCGTCGTCGTCGTCGTCGTCGTCGTAGTCGCCGCCGCCGCCGCCGCCGCCGCCGCCGCCGCCGTCGAGGGCCGGGACGCCCAACCCCTTCTCGTTGACGAAGCACATCGGGCAAGGCACGGCTTGCCGGCCGGCGCCGCTCGATGCGGCGCAGCAGCGCGCGCGCTGTCGCAGCGCGCGCGCAAGCGGCGTGCCTTGCCAGTCGTGCGGGCAGTCGACGTGGATCCTGTGCCCGCCGGCGCAGCCGATCAGCGAGTGCGCCTCGCCGCGCTCGATCGGCAACAGGCACGCGCAGCACTCGTCGGACAATCTTCCGCGCGGACCGTCGTACGACGGCGGCGCAGCAAGAGGAGACTCGCGCTAGATAGATGGCCGGGAGGCCGCGTGGTGGCGGCGTCGTAACATGTGCGGAGTAGTGTTGTGTATATAAATCAACACTACACCACCACGCGGCCTCCGTCCTCGGGGCGAACGCCCGTCTCGGCCCACTCGTGGTTGCACAGCACCACGGAGATGCGGAAGCCGCTGCCCGGGGTGACGGCGTGCAGCAGGTCGCTGGAATCCGCCCACAGCAGCCCCATGTGCGGGCACGCCACCGTGAGTCCGTACGGCATCAGCAGCTGGTGGAAGCCCTTAAAGGCCCCCACCACCATGATGGCACCGAGCTTGCCCCGCATGTTGTTCTTGTCTCGGTGGCAGTGGATCCCGTAGTGCTCGTTCGTCTTTGGGTCGAAGATGCCGCTCCAGACGAACTGGTCCATTCCGCAGGCACTATCGCGGCACTCTGCTCGGTACCCCCCTGCACAACTAAGCTCATGGCCGATATAGCGTCCCAGCACACATGCCTCTCTAATATTCTCTCCGCCAAAGGAGGCTCGAGACTCGGACCTTCGCGCCGTGCCGTCTTCATGTTCATCGACTGCGCTTGTGCGACCGCTGCGCAGCCCCCGCCGTCCCGAACGCCGCCGCAACGACCGCCCCGCCGGCCGGCCGCGGCTTTGCCTTGGCCTGCGGGTTTCGGTTCTCGTCGGGCGGGAGCCTGCGCGCGTGAAGGGTGGGGTGAGAGGGGGTCGGGACGTCTCCGCGCGGGGAGGGGTCGGCGCACCGAGGCAGCCGCGTGCCTGCGGCGGGCGCCTTGCAAGCGACGCCGCCGGCGCCCTTTCCTTTGGCCGAAGCCCTTGCCGGCGGCGCGGGCGGGGGCGCGGGCGGCGGCGCGGGCGGCGGCGTGTCTGGCGGCGGTGGGGCTCCGGGCGGGAGAGGGGGGAAGCGGCGGCGGGAGCGGCGGGAGCGGTCCGTCGAGAGGGCCGTCGAGCATGCTCGCCTGGCCGCCGCCTCCCTCCTCGTGGAGAGGGGGGAGGGTCGCGATTTCGCCGCCCGCCCCGCCGCCCGCCTCCGCCGCGCGCGCCTCGAGCGGCGGCTTGCTCGAGCCTCGCTTCCCGCGCCTATGAAGAGGGTCCGAGCAGGTTCCGGGAAAGTTCGTCGCAAGCGGGCGCGATGTCCGCTTGTGTCCGCCGGCCGCGAGACGCGTCGACAACGCGACCTCTCGGCTATATCTCGGGCTATATCTCCGACTATATCTCGGCTACATCTCCGCCGGCCGCGAGACACGTCGACAAAGCTTCACCGCGGCGGCCCGCGCGGGAGTGCGACGTCTTCTCCGCCCGCGGTCCCCTCTTCTCCGCACTCTGCCGGCTCTTGCGGCACCTCCACCAGAATCGGCCACGCTGTCTCGTCCTGCGAGGTCTCGTCTTGCGGCACCGCCTCCGCAGCGGGGAGAAGCGGCGCAGCGGGGAGAAGCGGCACATCCGGCTGTGGCAGCGGCGGTTGTTGTGGCTGCGGCTGTGGCGGCGGCGGCTGTTGTGGCGGCGGCTGTGGCTGCGCATCCGGCTGTGGCGGCAGCTGCGGCTGAAACGGCGGCTGAAATGGCGGCTGCTGCGGCTGCGGCTGCTGCGGCTGCTGCGGCTGCTGCGGCTGCTGCGGCTGCTGCGGCGGCCGTGCAGCACCCAGTGGCGGTGGCGCAAGCTGCTGCTGCTGGGGCGGTGGCGGCGGCTTGGCCCGCACCTCCTCCTCTGCAGACGGCGCCGCTCCCGACAAGGAGGGTGGCGGATCGGCCGAGGCAGCCGCTGAGGGGGCCGCTTCGCTCGTACTGCCGGCCAGCGCCTTCCTCGCCTCCTGCAGCCTGGGGCCGGGAGCGAGGGGCGGCGGGGGAGAGGGGCCAGCGCCAGCCGAGCGCAGCTCCACGCTCTCCTCCGCCGCCCCGGCCTCACACCCCGCTTCCTTTGCGGGATCGGCGGGGGCGGGCGCGGCTGCGGCCGCCGCCCCCGCCGCCTCCACCCTCCGGGGGGGAGGCAGCCGCGAGCGGGCCGTCTTGGGCGCGGGGGCAGTCGCGGACGCGCCGGCAGTCGCGGACGCGCCGGCAGCCGCGGGCGCGGGGGCAGTCGCGGGCGCGGGGGCAGTCCTCGCCGCCGAAGCGCCCGAGGGGGCGGATGCCGTCGGGGTCGTCTGGCCGAGGCGTCCTGAAAGGCGAAAGATTTGACTGTGCGTTCCGGGTGCCCCTTCCCTGGCTTGTGGTGCGCAAGCCAATCCGTGACAAAGCGGGTCATTCCCGTCCTCTCCCCGAGGCTATTGCTCAGCCAGAGCGTGCCCTCTGCTTGCGCCTGAAGGTACGCTCCAAAGTCAAAGGAGCCTCCGCCCTCTATGCTACCCTTGTCTGCTTCAGTTTGTCCTTGTCCAACCCCCACCTCTCCGCCCACGTCGCCACATTGAACAAGGCCGCCCCCATGCTGCTTAGGATTTCCTCCCTGTTGCTCAGGAATTGCTTTGTCACGCCGCTCCCCGGCCCCACCATCTGCACTCGCGCTCGCGGGTGCGCCGCAGCATCATCAAAGTCGTGGAACGGGCCAAGGGCCAGCGTCCGGAGTCGGCGTGGCAGCGCAAACGGATCGACGTCACGGTCCGGCGGCACCGCGTATTCCCTCGACGTGCTCACTAGCCCTGCGTCTACCAGCGCCGCCCCCATATGTCCGTACCAGTATCTCACGACGACGGTCGCCCATCGCGCTCCGGCCTGTCTACTCGCCCTCCCAAGCAGCTTCTGTATCATCTCCCGCTCCGTGCCACGATACGGCACCCCGTGCTTATCAACGGGCACCACGCTGGCCTCCGGCCTGGCTGCGTAGGCCTCTAGCGCGCTCGCGTCGATCGCGCATCGCAATGTCGATGTTACGTGCCGCGTCCATCCCTCCCGCTTCCACTCCTCCCTAACTTCAAGACGCCCCGTGTTCTGTACAACCTAGATCTCGTGCATCGATGTTCTGTGTATGTACTTTGTGAGACACCAGTGTGACTCGATCTACACTGACGTGAGTAGGTGAGTTTCGTGCAGCTGATCGATCAAACTTTTACCGTTTTACTAAAAGCTTTTATCGTGCCGTTCGCCCTCCATTCGGTGACCTCCATGGCTGTCCGTCCCCTTTTGGGTGGCGCTCTCGATACCGTTGCGTCAACCTCGACATCGCTGTCGCCCTCCCCGTCCCCGTCGTCGCCCGTGCCTCGGTTCGCGTCATTGGTAGCGTTTCCGTTGCCCCCTCGTGCTCCGCCGTCGCCCTCTCTGCTCGGGCCGTTCGCGATTTCGCCCCTCCTGCGTGTCGCCCCTCCGTCTCCCCCCCTGCCTTCGTCGTCATCGTCGCTGTCGCGAAAGCCCTCCGGTCCCTCGATTTTTCGAACACCTCTCCCAAAAGCGCAACAGAGGGCGCTAGGAGGTTCCTCTTTTCCGCGCCCCCCCCGCAAGGCGCGCGATACACAGAGGGTGTAGGGGTGTGGGGAAGACGGCAGATCTCTAGAGCTTAGAGGGAGATAGGAGGGGGAGATACCGCAAAAGAATCGGCCCGACCAGGGCTATTTACCCACCTCAACTCTATTTATTTACGGTGAGACGACAGCAATAAACATCCCGTTGTGGCCTTCCTCGAGGGTCCAGACCTGCTCTCGGTACTGCTCTGCGACCGGGACTCCGTCCTGGCTCACCAGGTCGAGCGAGCTCGCTGTCGCCGCCGCGTCTCGATATGATGTGGCCATGTGGTCGTCGATGTTCTCGTAAAAGCGAATCGTGAAGCCCTCCTCGTGAAGGAGCCTCCGCCACGCGCCATGAGAGCGAGGCGGGCTGCCCATGTGCAGCCGGCGGTACCAGCCGGCGCTCTGAGGCGGCGTCGCAGCCGTCCCTTCGAACTGGCCGTCGCCCGCGGTGTGGTCGGCGAAGACGAGGAGGCCACCCGGCGCGAGGACCTTGCGAGCCTGGGCGAGTACGGCGGCCACCTCCTTCGGCACGTAGCACAGGCTCAGCTGCGCAAAGACGTGAGTGAAGAGAGCAGGCTCGCCCGCGCCCTCAGGCTCGGTCAGCGCCTCGACTGGCAGGGCCGTCATGCTGCCGTGAAAGTAGCGCAGGCGGAGGCCGGGCGGCGCCGCCTCCTTGCTGCGCTCCACGTTGGCTGGCGTGAGGTCAACCCCGACGCAAGCCGCGCCCGTCAGCGACGCCAGCAGCCGGCAGGACCGCCCTTTGCCGGAGCCCAGGTCGAGGACGCGCGAGGAGCTGTTGACGCGCCCGAGCCGAGTCATTCGCTCTGTCAGCGCGTCGGCGGCCTGAGGCAAGTTGAGCCGCACGAGAGACGGGGAGGAGAGGTGCGGGTAGTAGCCGGTGTGGATGTTATCCGGCCCGAGGATGCGGTTGTAATGTCCGCGGCTGCCGCCCGCCACGGTGTAGTAGTGCTGGGCGGCGGCGGCAGAGCCAATCGCGCCGACTCCTTTGGTATCGAGCTCTGGAGCGAGGCCCACTACCGTCGTCGACTCCGCCGCTCCGCCACTCGCCGCCGCCGCGTTGTTCACCTCTTGGCTCCCCGCCAGTCGCCCGCCGCGAGCAGAGAAGAGGGCGAGGTTCATTCCAACGTGCCCTGCACGGACCGACTGCGCCGACCACCGGTACGAGTCTGCTAGCGCGAACATGCCGTGCGCCCGCGCCGCGGCGGCGAGCTCGAGGTAGCCGTGCTGCTGGTGCTCGTCCAGGGCCTCGTAGCGCAGGAGCCGGAGGCCACTCGCTTCGGCCAGCTCGGTCCACTGTGCGTGGCTGTGCAAGCAGCACGGCACGGAGGTGCGGTCGTACCAGTGCAGGCGTGTCTCCGCCGAGGCCTCCACCCTCCCGAATCCCGCGACAAAGTCGCTCACCACGAGCTGCCCGCCCGACGCCAGCAAGCGCTGGATGTTTGCGAAAATCGTGGGCAGCTCGGGGTGCGCGTGCACAAAAGCGGCAGCGGAGAAGATGTGAGTGAACCGAGCGGATGCAATGACTTCCGGCAGGCTCGTGAAGCTTCCCTCGACGAACATCAGGTTGAGCTCCGGGTGCTGGGATGCTAGCTCCCGCGAGCGCGCCACGTTGCCGGGTGTGAGGTCGAGGCCGACGCAAGCAGCACCCGTGAACTGCGCTATCTGGAGGCAGGCGAGCCCTCTGCCCGAGCCGAGGTCCAGCACGGTGGATTCGTGATTGATGCCGGCGGCCTCAACCATACGCTGCGTGAGCGCGTCGGCGGCCTGTGCAAAGGAGAGCCGCACGAAGCCATCGCCCGAAAGGTGCGGGTAGTAGCCCTGAGGAGCAATGGAAAATGGAGGAGTGTGCCGGTGTGCCGGCGGTCGTCACGAGTGCTACAGGCGCTGAGGGAAGGGCTCGGCGACCATGTGGATGTTGTCGAGCCCCCACAGAGCCTCGGGCTTCTCCGCCTGCACCTTTGCACCGGTGTAGTGCTCGAGCGAGCGCCTCGCACCGGCACTGGTGTAGTGGTCTGGCGTGGCGCCAGCGCTCGCTGCGCCAATACCAACCCTTGCACTGATCAGTACCGACAGCGAGACCATAATCGCACAAACCCGGGGGTGCAGGATTCGACCTTTTTACGGGGCAAGGTATGGTAGTGTCAGGGCCAAAAGGGTACATACATACATAAAAGGGTGGGGGGGTATGGTCCTGGCCGCCGGAGGCGGCCTGCTCGACGGGTGGGGGGGTATGGTCAATCGCTGCTGCCCATCATTCCAGCGCTGAGTGACGCCGAGCTGCTCGAGCACATTGATCTGATCATGGAGCGGCCCGCCATGAAATCTAGCCGTGTGTGCTGGCGTCCGGGTCCCAGCGGGTCTTCACGTCACAAGTACCGTACACACAACGAACCTGGTTCTGTCCCCCTCTGCTCCCCCGTACGTGGCGGCCGGTGCCCCGGCCGGCCTCTTGCAGTCAGCAGCCGGCGGCGGCGCCTTGCGCAGTCAGCAGCCAGGAGCAGGCGCGCGTCAGCTTTCACCATGTCGCCCGACGTGCGAAAGCTCGGCGACCGCGTCCCGTTCGCCGAGGTGTGCGACGGTGGCGTGCTTCACGATTGGCTGGCGGAGCCGGAGGTGGGCAGGGAGGAGATTCGCAGTCTTATCCGTGCTCACGGCCTGGTCGTCTTTCGCGACACGAGCCTCACCCCTCGAGAGGAGCTGCAGGTCGCACAGCTCGCCGGCTACCACGCTACCGAACAGGCGACGGGCGGAGCAGGAAGTCTCTTTGGGTGGCAGGGCAAAGTGGCGGGGCTCGCGGCGCTGCCCGACGTGCCAGAGGTAGTGTGTCAGGGCAACGTGCAGCTCCTCGACCACCACGGGATTGACGGCGTGCAGCTCACGCCTCTGCTAACCTTTGAGAACGAGGGCTACCACAGCGACGGCATGCACAACATGCAGCACAGCCCGCCGGTGCTGACGAGCATGCGGTGCGTCAAGGCGCCGCTCGCGGGCGGGGAGACCTTCTTTGCCTGCTCACGGCTGGCGCTGTCGCGCCTCGGCCCGGCGATGCGTGCGCTCTGCCGGCGCATCACCGTCCACTATGTGTACGATGAATCGCTGGGTCTGCCCATCATGCGGGGAGGCATCGTGCGCGAGAGCCGGCAGCCGAGAGAGAAAGATGCTTCGCCGCCTGCTCCTCCCGCCCGCACTTGCCACCCTCTCGTGCGCACGCACCCGGAGACGGGAGAGGAGGCCTTGTACCTCTCGTGCGCCAACATCGACTTCATGGTCGCGCCTGCGGACGAGCACGACTCGCCTGCTCTCCGCCTCGACACAGCGGCGAGCTACGAGCTCGTCGCGGCGCTGCTGGGCGTCGTGACGCGGCCACCGTACGTGTATGCGCACCGCTGGCGCGAGGGCGACCTGGCGCTCTTCGACAATCGGCTGACGCTGCACGCGCCGCTCGTCGGCTCGTCGTGCGTGGGCGAGCGATTGCACCACCGAGTGAGGCTCGAGGGCGGCGCCGCCGCGAACCGCGACCTTGCCGAGCACGCGGTGCGGCGCGACCTCGCCGCGGCGCACACGCTCTCCCACCACTTCAAGTTCGATGAGCTGACCTGGAACCACATCTCGGCAAGGCTCCCGTCGGGCGCGGGCTTCCTCGTCACTCCGGGCGACGCCCTCTTCGACGAGGTGACGCCGCTCAACCTGTCGCTCTCCTCGCCGCAAGCCGTCAACGTGACGGCCGACGTGATCCACTCCGCCATCTACGCGGCCCGGCCGGACGTGCGGGCGATCGTGCATCACCACACCCCTGCCGTGGTCGCGGTGTCGTGCCTCGAGGGGGGGCTGCAGCTGCTCACGCAGGACGCGGGCGCCTTTGTCGACGCCGTCGCCTACCACGGGTGGGAGGGCGTCTCGGACGACTATGACGAGAAGGCGCGCATCGCCGCTGCGCTCGGCCCGATTGCGCACACGCTGCTGATGCGCCACCACGGCGCCGTCACCACCGGCAGAACGGTGGCGGAGGCGTGGGTGCGGTACTACTACCTCGACCGAATGTGCGAGGTTCAGTGCCGCGTCGGCTCGGCGCCGCACCTTCAGCCGCCCGCCGCAAGCCTGGCGCACGCCTGCACGCAGCTTGGGCCGGGAGGGCCGTACTCTCACGGCCGGTTCGAGTGGGCGGCGCTCCTTCGGCTGGCGGAGTCGCTGCAGGCGGGCAAGAGCCGCTTCGTCAAGAGCGGCGACCCCGTGTGCGGCGTGGATGATCTCGCCGTGACAGCTCAGCCGCCGATGCCGCCGGCGTCGGCCTCTGCGCTCCACTCCTTGGAGGAGAGCGGATTCTGCGTGCTAGAGGGCGTCATACCGCCACGCGACGTGGCCGTGGTGCGGGAGAGCATCCTGCGGACCACAGAGAGGCACCACAATCCCAACGCGCCCGCCTGCATCGGGCACGTGCCGGGGCTGATTGGCTTTGACCAGTCCCTGGCGCCATACCTCGCGAGCCCCGACATCATGCGGATCGTCGAGTCTCTCTTTGGCGCCGCAAAGATCACCTTCACCACCGGGCAGACCAATCATCCAGGTGCACAGCGGCAGGCGTGGCACGCGGACTGGCCGTTTGCGCAGACCGGCTCGGCCCACCTCGGAGCGCCGTACGCGGACGCTACCTGCCACCTGACGACGCTGTGGATGCTCGACCCGATGAACGAGGAGAACGGCACCATCCTCCTGCCTGGCTCGCACCGGGCCACAACCAACCCGACGGCTCCAGGCGTGCTCTCCGACCCGACGGCGGCCCTTGCGCAGGAGGTTCGCGCCACGGGCAAGGCCGGCTCAGTGCTTGTGATGGACTCGCGGCTGTGGCACGCGATTCCGCCCAACCCGACGTCCACATCTCGCGTCGCGGTCGCGGTGCGGTACGCCCCCTGGTGGCTCGACACAAGCGTCGTCATGCCCGGCTCCGCTGCCCGCCGCCGCATCGTGGACGGCGCGGGGCGACCTGACACGGGTGGAATCCCCCTCGGAAACCCGGCACAGCCGCCCGTCCCTCCCGGCGTGTACGCCGAGCTCGCTGCTGCTGCGAGCAGTGCGGAGCGGCGGACCGCGGCGCTGTACGAGCATTGGCTGCCGCCGACGGCGGAGGCGCCCTCCCCGCCGCTGGCCCCGCCGGCGCCGGGAGGCGTGCCGCAGGAGGAGGAAGCCGCAGCCGCGCGCGCTGCTCTCGGGCAAGACGGGCTCCACGTCCTCCGGCAGGCCCGTCTTGGCAACGGGAGGGCGATGACGTGGGACCGCTTCTCGGTCGCCGAGGCGGCGGAGGGAGGCTACCTTGATGCGCCGGCCGTCTGCACCCTCGCCCGCGCCTCCCTGGGCGAGTTCGTCCGTATTAGCGACGTGCAGGCCTTTGCCGCCAGCGGCGGTGGCGGCAGGGATGGGGAGCTCTCTTGCGCGTGGCCGCACGACCCCGCCCTCACTCCATGCGTCAGCACCCCGCCGCTCGCTCGAATGTGTTCCGACGCCGTCCTCGCGCTGCACGTCTTTGTCGCGCATTCCGAATGCGCGCTCCTCGTCCGGCCTCTCGGTCGAACTCGGCCGGAGCGCATCGCCCTCTGCGCGGGCGACGCCGCGGTGATCGACAGCCGCGTTCCGTTTCGTTGGGCCGACGGCTCCGACGGCTGCGCAATTCGCGTCACCTACTCTCCCTGGTGGTTTGACGGCAGTGTGCTGGCCGTCGGGTCGCTCCAGCGCCGCCGTGCCGAGGTTGCTTTCGAAGCGGGGCTCGCCCCGCCGCTGCCGCCGCCCCGCCCGCCACTCAGCCTCGACGCGGTGAGCGCGAGCGCTCAGCTGTGGGACCTCCTGCAACATTGGGAGGTGGAGTCTGGCGGCGGCACACTCGCTTCTGTTCCGGATCCCCTCGCCACGTACGGGCGGCTATGGGCGCTCCAGCAGCTGCTCCAGTCGGGCCTTTTCGACTTGGTGGCCCGCGCGCTCGGCGCGTCGGGTCCAGCAGGAATGGGCGATAAGTCTTTCATGGCGGCGAAAGTGCGCTCCGACCCGCGCGCAGCGTGGGTGCTGCCCATCTTTGCGGGAGCCTTGTACGCGCCCGCGTGCGTGCCGC